CCCCACAGCTTCTTCAACTTTACAAGCAGCTGAAGCTTGTGTCCCAGTGACCACCTGAGCCGAAGGAAGGTGTTAAAGTGTAGAGAGGGCTGAGCAAGTGACAAACTGTGGCAAACTGGAAGACATGTTTTAGAAGAGCCCAGGCTGGAATATAGACTGCTGGGGTGCAAGTTCCTTTCTCTTTATTTTTGTGGCGGTAAAGTTTTAACCCAGGGGTGCTCTACCACTGACCTACATCCCTAACCCTGTTTATTTTGTATTTTGAGACAAGATCTTGCCCAGGCCAGCCTCAGACTTGTGATCTTCTGCCTCAGACTCCTGAGTAGCTGGGATTATAGGTGTGTGGCACAAGTTCCTTTCTCATTAAGTTGTTGTGAGGAATACATGAAATTATGCACATAAAAGGCTTGAAAAAATACAAAGTGCTGCTTAAAAGTGAGTTGTTGAATCAATTAAATAATTCATAACTCTAAATTCCACAGATTTTGGGTAGGCCAAAGAGAAACAAGAGGATGAGAGAAAGGCCCAAAGGTCTCAGAAGAGTGATTTAGATGGGAGGAGGTGATTCAGAAGGGGTTAGAAAGAGATCAGCAGGGCAGGCTGGAGTATGGAGGTGAATTTGCCTGAGCTGGCTCACCATGGCACCCTCCGGCACAGTCAGTCTGCTCTCTTCCCTGATGGGGCCTCCTTCCCGCTGCTCCCTCTTGGGCTCCACTGTGGAAAGGGATGGTGCCCGGGGCAAGGGGCCATCCCCTCGATGTCGCTTGGTCACATGGGCATCAGGACCATGCACTGTCTTGACGTGTTTTCGGAGTGAGCTGGGGTCTGTGTAGCGTTTGGTGCAGCCAGGGAGCTTGCACACATACGGCTTCTGTCAAGTGGAGAGTGAAGACAGAAGGCCAAGGAATTAGAGTGGCAGACTGCAGGAGGAATAAGGAAAGGTGACAAAAGGGGTAAAAGAGGAGCACACAGCATCCAAGGAGCTAAGGAAGGTGGGCACCCTTGGGTGGGAGTAAAATATGAGAGGTTTAAGGTGGGCCCAGGCCTTGGAAAGATGAGGAGGTGAACCCAGGGTTGTGAGGCCTCATAAATTCAGGGGTTGAAGATATTTGGTATCGTTTCTAGACCAGGTCTGTTTCAGGTTGGTCTCTTTGCTGGTTAAAAAAGTAGGAGGAATGGTGAGTGAAAATTCTTGGTTTTGTGTGTCTCTCTCCTTTCTTTCTTTTTTTTTTTTTTTTGTACTGAGGATTAGACCCAGAGGTACTTTACCACTGAGCTATACCCCAGCTCATTTTACTTTTTGAGACAGGCCTCACTAAGTTGCTGAGGCAGGCCTCAAACTTGCAATCCTCCTGCCTCAGCCTCTTGAGACCTTGGGATTACAGATGTACATCACCATGCCTGGCTTGAAATTCTTTGTTTCAGAAAGGGTCCCTCTGCGTGAATTACAGGGGCAAGGGGAACTCACCTCTTTGGAGTGGGTGCTGGGCTAAGGGATTTCTTATGGGGGAATCTCCCCTGCAGATGGCTTTTCAAGTGGGGAGGGTCTCTTAGTTGGGACATTCACCTCATTAGAGTGGGTCCGATTCTGGTGCTTGGCGCGGTCACTGGCATTGCTAAACGCTTTACTGCAGCCCTCGTGCTCACACATGTATGGCTTCTCACCCGTGTGTGACCGCAGATGTGTCTTCAAGTTTTCAAGGCGTGAGTATGACTTCCTACACCCTTCAAACTAGGAGACATAACAGAAGGTAAAATGACAACTCTTAAACAGAAGAACATGGAGATTAAAGGACCCTAAATCTCATAAGAGGCATACATAGAGAATATAGTTCAAAATGGGAGAACACTAGGGCTCAAGAGAATTCCCAAAATTAGGGGATAAGGGCAAATGAGAGCTTCTCTGGAACAGAAGCAGCTGGAGGCACTTTCCCTTAGGGGTGTGGTGTGAGGAATGACTCTTCCTGGTCAGGCCTGAGCAGGGCTCCCTGTGTGGAATCTTAGACTTTTTAAAATTGGGGTTATCTGAGGAATAGGTTCAAGTGAGTGTCTTATGTCCTTGATGCAAGGCTTAGCTATTAGGCAGAATCTAGGCACAGTCTTGAGGGCCCACAATATTTTAAGGGACTCACAAATATATTTTAATATTTTTAAATCAAGGGGAAAATGAGCTTTTAGTTCCAAGAAAATGTTTTAATATATATCAATACAGTCATAATTAGGACTTAATATTTATGGCAAAAAGGACCTATGAACAAGTCTTTCTCGGACCCTATCTTGACTGGAAGCCAGTTTAGGAAGGGACTTGGCTTGGGGATGAATGCCTCACCGTGCACTTATGTGGCTTCTCGCCTGTGTGTCTGCGCATGTGTACCACCAGCATGTACTGGGCTTTGAAGGGCCTCAGCTCCCTGGAGCAGCCCCCCCAATGGCACACGAACTCCTTCCGTTCTCCATGAATGTGTTCACTGTTGATGTGCTGGGGGAAAAGATACAGAGGTTTTCCAAGTTTCCCCCATGTTCCCGGAACCCAGAATAGCTGCCCTGGCTCCCTATTCCTCCTCCTCAACTTTACCTTGTGGGGGAAGAAGGGGCAGGAAGACAACATATCCCAAATCTCATGCCTTCCAGCTCTCTAAAGTAAAGATAGTTTTTGAGCTTTTGCCTACTCAAGTAAGCACTCAACCTATGACTTCAGTATCCTGATTCCTACCCTCAACCAAACTCCACAATGTCTCACTCAGAGTCTTTTACAGACTCCAGTCAGTCATTCCTGTTACCCCCTAGGGCTCACGTGCACCAGCTGCTCCTGGGAGTCAAATTCCTGGCTGCAACCATCCCAGCGGCAGTCAGTCTCATATACAGACTCAGGCTCAGGCTTTTCCTCTCTCTCCAGGTCTTCTCGCCCATCTAGCATCCCCAACAGGGGATCCTAGGATAGGAGAAGCAGTGTTATGGTTACTTGGGTGATAGCTTTTGTTTGCTCAGGTCCCAAAGGTAAAGCCCATGCCCCTCCTTTTACCTGTGTGCCTGTGGAGTTGGGGCTGGACATATCACCTTCCAAAGGCTCCTCTGGGCACTTGCCAACCAGCATGTCCAGCTCTGACTTCAGCTTCCCCAGGGGAAGAGATGAGGGCGATAAGGGTAGAAATAGGAAGAAGGAAGGAGCCCAGCCAGGTCTTTCTGTTCTAAGTGTTCCCACCCAAGCAGCAGGAACCCCTGGGTGTGGAAGGGACTTCCTTCTAAGATTGCATTGGTGAACAGGATGGGCAAAAGGTAGAATCTCATCTGAAAGAGCCTGAGTCAGCCCCAAAGAGTAAAACCTCTCTACTTCTCTGGAACTGAAGACTTTTTTTAAAAAATATTTTTTTAGATGTTGATGGACCTTTATTTTATTTATTTATATGCAGTGCTGAGAATCAAACCCAGTGCCTCACACATTCTAGGCAAGTGCTCTACCACTGAGCCACAACTTCAGCCCCAGTGAAAACTTTTATATACCCTGTCCTTCCTTTACTGTAAAGTCGCCACCCACCCACCCTGACCTAGGAGAAATCAGGTAGCAATATGGGGAATCTCACCTGATAAGTTGGGAGGGGTCCCCGGGACTGAGGATGTGGCATCATCCCACCCCGGTTGGAGTCATGGCCACAGGGCTGCACTCCAAAGGAAGGTGAGCTCCCTTTTTGGTGATTCATCTGAGGTGGGAATCCCAGAGAAGGGCTGAAGAGGAGAAGAGGTGGCAGTTACTGAAGACTACCAGCAAGTCTTTGAAGTTATTGGACAATTTAGAGGACTTTTTAATAAGACTTGATGTAAGGCTTGGTCAAGGCAGCCCTAAGGGAAGTTCTGAGGAGGGTTTCAATGACTTTGAAGTGAAAAGGATTCAAATTGGGCTGGAAATTTAGATGACTTGAGGCTTTTAGTGGTTTTCAGTTGGAGTCTTAGCCAGAGAATGTCTGTACCTCATGGTGCCAATGGAGAGATGGCCATAGGAGCCTCCAGGAGATGTGCAGCGGGAGTTGATGAAGGCCACAAGGGAGCTGGGTGAGGTGCGGATAACTGTCTGCAGGTCCAGGCTGGTATCTGACAGAGGAGAGATGGACAGTGCCCGCTTCTTGGTCAACTTGACAGCATTCCGGGGAGGAGGAAAGAGTGACCCTGGAGTAAGAAACAGAGGAGATAAAGGGAATCTCCATGTACCCAACCTGTGGGTCCTCTCAGCAAAAAATAATACTCAACTCTGCTTTGTGCTACTGATTCCAGCTGTGACCACTTGGTTGTTCTCTGACCCCTCACATCTCTGAGCATTTCCTCCTCCCAACTAGATCCCTGCCCTCCCACTTTGTTCTACAAAACAAGTCCCAGAGTAGAAAGGAAAGAGGTTTTCCCTGAGGACTCACCCTCGGTGCAGCTGTTGTTCTCTCTGGCTGGCATATAACTGTGGGGACCCGACGTGAGGTTGGCTTGATGGCAGAAGGGCAGACCAGTCAGTCCTAGAAAAGAGAGACAGCTGGAGTGCAGAATGGGAATGGAGGACATAGGCCTCACCTTAAAGTCCCAGGCAAGACCTGACCCCAGATTCCAAGCCTATATAGCATAGAGCCTCAAATCCTCCTGTAAGAAAGGAAACTGATAGGGGATAGGGAAAGGACTGAGGGGGATCCTGGGGTTAGACGAGATATCTGCCCAGGGATTGGTAAATACACTGACCTTCTGTCCCCATGCTGGGGGCCCCTTGACTGAGGAGGGGTCGAAGACAGCATGACTCAACATAGCTACTGACTGGTGGTGGGGTCATCGAGTTGAACATGATGTCTCAGAGGAGGGTGTGGGGACACTGTAGAAAGGGAAGGTAGAACTGCAGGTTATAAAGATGGAGGGAAGTAGAGAAGATCAGATGATAATCTCAGGCACAGAACTCTGGCAGCATGTCTCCTGTGCCCCCAGCCCATCTAGGACATAGGCCATGGAAATCAAATTGAAAAGAACATCATTCAACCAAGGAAGGGATAAAGAGAAACATCCCAAAGAGGCATAGGCTGTCAGAAAGTCTTGGGGATCTTTTTGGGAAATGGGTAGGAGCTTTCCCTGGGTGATCTATCTATCTAGAAAAAGTGTGTGTGTGTGTGTGTGTGTGTGTGTGTGCGCGCGCGCGCCACGGGGTGTGTGTGTGTGTGTGTGTGTTAAGAACCTATTGAGCCAGGATGAGTTTCAAGTGATTTTAATGTCATGGACCAGTTTTGAGGATTGTGATGGGAGAACTCATGTAGAGACTTCATGCATTGGGCTGCTCTGCCTGTTCCTTTCCTTGGCTTGCCCCTGCCCCAGGACAGTTCATCCGCAATCTCTGCAGTGTCCGGTAGAGGGAGACCTCGCTACAGTCCACACAGACTGGTAGGGCCAAGAGAGAGCTCAAAAGATCAATCTGCCCTTAGGAGAAAATTGTAGAGGGGGAATAAGGTTTCAGAGGGGGTGCTCTCAGGTCTGTTAGGTACAAGGGATGGAAGTTAATGTCACTCTGGGGTGGTTTGGATTTGGTCTCCTTTTGAGGGGAACAGGAAAGAGAGTGTGGGGGAAGGCTTCTTGGAGAGTGAAAAAAACAAAGTCATCATCGATTAGAAGGGAGTAGTGAGGAAGGAGAGGATGCTATGATCGCATTTCTCCTCAAACTCCAGTTTTCATTCCATTCCTGGTTTTCCGGTCTCCCGGGAGTGAGGGTGGGGTGGGGCGGGGTGGGGTGGAGAACGGCCGGGAGCGGGCCGGCCAGCGCGGTGGGTGATCCCGGGATGCTGGGATTTAGGGTGAGGGCGGGGTAAAATGGGGAGTGGAACCCGGACCCTACGACCTAGTCCGAGCCCAGCAGCCTGGGCTGTACCCTTCTAAACTCCTCCTTTTACAGCTGAGATCCCGATCCCGCACCCAAGACCTCCCAACTCGACCTTGGCACTAATGTTAGGAGCGGGGGGCACAGCTGGCTGGCAGCTGGAAGAGGGGGGCACTTCTCCCGCCTCCTTCCACTATGACTCACCCAGGGAAAGAAAGATGGCTTGCAAACGACCCCCCAACACTAAAAAGATTCCCCCAAACGTGCCTTCTGTTATCTTCCTGTCCTAATACCAAGCTGCCGAGAAGATGCGATGGAACTGGGGTGACATCCCTCTTCGCCCACGCGTGCAACAGCCAACCCACGCCTCCCCTTCACACTATAAAAGGAAAATGTCGCTAACTTTTCCAGTTTCAGTAGTTTTTTTCTGGGGAATGGGTGATAATGCGGGATGGGCAGGGAGTCCTAAGGTTCCTCTGCCGGAGCCCTAAATCATCTTCGGTGTCTCCCTATTTTCTAGTGTCCTCTTAGTACCCCAACTCCCCAACTCCCAGGAGTCGGCCCCGCCCCCTTCTCCTAGTCCCGCCCTCCCCGCCCCCGTGCCTCCCCGGCCCACCCAAGTCGCCGCCGCAGGCTCCGGCTGCAGACGGCTCCGCTTCCCCCGCCCGCCCGGGGAGCCCAGTCGAGCAAGGAGTTAGTGGCGGGCGGCGGCGGGGGAGGGGGGGGCGGGACACATTCGGGGGGCGGGACACATTCTTCCCTCCTCCCCTCAGCGCATCCAGAAAGCTGACAGAGGTGCTCTGGGATGGGGGGCATTATTGGAGAGCAGGGATCTCAGTATGGTAGGTTGAGAAAGAAAGATGAATCCAGTTAACCAAAGCGCGAGAAAATGACTGGGTAAATAAAATACATCTATGCGGAGGAGGTTCCCGGGTACGTCTTAGGTTCCCGGGTATCACGGCTGGCTTCTTAAGGGTTAACCCTTCCAGACCCCCGGGAACCCCCTAGTGACGTCAAGGGCGGGGTCTGAGTCCTCGGGCGGGGATGCCCTGGAGATAATGAGGGGGGGTCCTCTGGACCCCGCCCCCTAGGGAAAACCACCCTGTTCTGGCTCTTATTTCTCCCCCAAGAAATCTCCCAGCCTTCTTCCTCTATTGGAAGGAAAGATCCATCCCATTAAGACCCCAGTTCTTCAGTCCCCTAAAACCCTCAGTCTCTACGGGGTCCCTTTTCCCTAATCCTGTCCCTAAAGCTAGCTGCCCAGGGCTAATTGTTTCGGGGTCATGGGGCCTGAAAGAGGCTTCAGAGCGGGGAGTAAGGGCAGGCAGGGTGGTCTGAGCCAGAGGAGGGGCCTTGGTCCCCAGCTCCTGTTTGGGAGGGCGACCAGCAGCGATACACAGGCTGGCAGTGGCCAGTAGTTCCGCCCAGCCCCAGTAGGGTCTCCCTGCGGGTGGCTATAGCTGTCCTGGTGGTCCCGAGGTCAGAGGGTCAAGACAAGGTCTCCCCATCTCCTCCCAGAGCAATGCCCACAGCCCGTGGGACTCAGGAGTCCAAAATTGCTTGGGATTTGTCTAAGGCCTAGACTACACCTTGGACATTCCCTCCCTAGTCCCGAATGCTTTCCTTTTCCCCAAAACTCAAGCATCCGCGGGCACATCTGTCACTAGGACAGGTCAAGGGTCCAAGGCCAGTGGTTTTGTTGCCTCTCACACACACACCCTATCCCCACCCCACCTAGAGCTCCCTCCTTTGCTGTCAGTCCCCTCCTCTTAGAAACACTGACGTCTTCCAGCCCGGCGCTCAGAGACACACCTGGAGTTCCCTGTCTACCACGCAGACCTCCAACTGGCCGTCCCAACAGTCTCTTCATCCCAACCTCAAGAAAGGAAGATGTTTCTAATATTGTGTGAGAGGCAGAGATAGACAAAGAGACCCACGGTTGCCTGAGACAGACACACAGACAGGGAAAAAAGAGCAGATAGAAAAGGAGACACAAATGAAAAATTTCTCCAAACTTTCTAATATCCTTTCCCCGTCTCTCCCACCCCATTTTGTCTCTCTGCCCCAGGTCTCCCTCACGGCTGGGAAGAGTCCTTCGGCAGCAGAGCATCCCCTTTGGATCCCCTCCCCCACCGCTCCCAGGTGGTCCCCCGCCTGCCCCCCTTCTCACCTCCGTCTGGACGCAGGGCTCGGGATGCACGGTCCAGGGCTAGTCTGGGCTGGGGGGTGTGCGGTGGGGAGGGGGGGTGGACAGGGCCACGGCAGCGCAGCCTCAGTGCCACCCCACCCCCCCAACCTGGCCCCCAGCCCTCCCGCCGGCCCAGCCCGCCGGGCCGCAAGCCGGGACCACCCGCGAGAAGCGCAAACTTTTTTTTTTCCTTTTGCAAAAACTTTTTCTTGCTTTAGCCGCTGGCGCGCCGCCGCTCTTCCCGCTCACCCCTCACCTCCCTCCTATTTCTCTCCCTTTTGCTGTTCTGGTAGATGAGGTGGGGTGGCTGGAAGCGAGCGAGGGGGTGCCGGGCTTATTGCACCCCCAGGACCCCCAGGATCCTCCCCCTCCCTAGAGGGACCCTATACTGCCTAACACCCCCCCCCCTGCCCGGTTTAACACGCTGCTGGTGGTTGGCAGGAAATTCCGGAATGGATTCTAGGATCAGTCGTCAATGAGGAGTCCCTGAACCAGAGCCAGGAATACACTGAGAAAAATACTGCGGAGCGAGGAAAGAAGGGAGAGAAGTTCGTACGAGAAAGATAATATTGGAAGGTAGGGTCGTGGACTTTTGTTGGTGTTAACTGAATATTCTATCACCCTCTAGTTTATCTGCCAATCTCATTCTTTGGATGGAACTTTGAGGGGTTGGGATAGAGCTAGGATTTGAGCAAACTGAATTGAGGGGTTGGCGGCTGTGGCGGAAGGTTAAGGATCTAGGGAGCCTAAAAGAGAGAAACACTGACTGGAGCTCTGGATTCGGGGTGTGTATTCACAAGGTCACTAAGGAATCCTGGGTCTAAAGCCCTTTCCCGAGGTTCCCTTCACTCCAACTTCTAAAGACTGCCGCCACCTCCGCACCTCTCCCCACTGCGGACTTTCTGCTCTTTCAGGCTTTCTGCTCCCTCTGCTGGCGGTTCTGGCACTTGACACCATCTTGGAGTCCGGGAAAATGCAGGCACGATGGAGCTAAAGAAGCTTTGACAGATCTCCCACCACCACCACCACCACAACCACGAAAACCCAGTTAGGATCCCGGAGACGGGGATGTACGAGCCCAATGAAATGGAGGGCACACTTGCGAGGCTGTTAATGCCTAGCGGTTGTGCCTGACGAGGGGTGCCCTGTCCCTTTGGATTTGTGTTGCCATAGTGACTGTATTCAGGGATGGGGGCAGCTATTTCAGTCTCTGGTCTTTCTGATAAAGAAGAGAAAGCATGATGGCGGAAAGGAGACCCTTCCCTTTAATGTCATCTCTCAGACAGACCTCCCACATCCTAGCTATGTCTCCAAGGACCACTTTTTTAAGTCTGGAAGGTCAGTGGTCCTACAGTTCTATCTGAGAATCAAGGGGGAAAAGAAAAGGTGAAGCTAGGGGCAGGCCAGAGGTCCTACAACAGGGTAGTGATTCTGGGGGTGGGGACGTATAGGGAACACTGTTTGAGTCTGCCTCCCCACATGACTGACTCAAACCACTTACACATAGAAGGTCATGGACCTTCACCCTGCACCCAATTCAGTCAGGCTGACCAATGGTCATTGAAAAAAGAAGGGACACAACATATGCTCCCTTCCCAGATGCCTGCCCCTTCTTCAGAGGAGCTCTTTTAGAACACACTATAGATCAGCAATTCTTAAACTTTTTTATGTTTTAAGACCTCTCTATGCTCTTCAAAATTATTGAGCTTTTTTTTTTGCATGAGATCTAGATCTATCAATTTATCATATTAGAAATTAAAACAAAAAATTATAACACAAGAATACACAAGTTCACATTCCATTAAGAATAATGTTAGAAAGATGATGTAATTGCTTGAAACACTCTGGAAAACTCCATTGTACGATTTTGAGATAATGAGAATAAAAAAGACAAATAACATCTTAATATTATGCAAATAGTTTTGGCTTTTGGAAACCCTGAAAGGGTCTCAGGGTCCTCCTTGAGATCCCCACATCACACTTTAAAAACTATTACTCTGGACCATCACCTTGGCCCTTCTTCATGACTCACATTTGTTGATTTGCTTTCTCTCTTTTATTAAGAAAGTATAAGCTGGACATGGTGGCACACACCTGTAATCCAGTGGCTTGGGAGGCTGAGGCAAGAGGATCATAAGTTCAAAACCAGCCTAAGCAATTTAGAAAGACCCTGTCTCAAAATTAAAAAATAAGAAAGGGCTGGGGATGTGGCTCGTAGTTAAGAGCCCTGGGTTTAATCCCTGGTAATGAAAAAAAAAAAAAAAAAAGAATAAATGTTTGTGTTTCCCCAGGGAAAATCAGAGAATTTCTTAGGCTCAGTACCCCTTTTTCCTTATTTCTGCTTCTGGAGTTTTCCTAAACACCCTCCCTTGGCACCTTGTTCATCTCCCTCTTGACCCTCCCTTAAAGCACTGAACAATCCCTACCCTTGGCCAGCCCATTTGCCCTGTCCCAAGCTTGCTGAAACTTCTGCTTCCTCCCTTTCTTGAGGACTTACTCTTCTTGGGAGAGATTAAGTAATTTTCTCTGCCTTCTCCTTCCCTCTCTTCCCTGCTAGCCCCTGCCATCTTCTCACTTGGGGTAGAAAATCATACTGCCTGGGTAGTCCCCTTAGAGGAAATACTTTACCCATTTGCCCACATATCAACCAGCCTGAAAAAGGCCAAAAGTCTGGGACAAGAAAGTGTGCATTTGGGTCACATAGGGGTCAACCCTGACATAGTGCCAGGTGGTCTTGTTGGGTGGAGGTGCGGATCAGGAAATCTGATGCCTCCAGACACAGATGCCCTTTACCTGGGAACCCCCAACTTGATATCTTCTATCTGAACCCCCAGGTCCTCTTGCTAGCTACAACCACAAGCCTCCACCACCATATCTGGCACATCTGTCTTGACCACATTGCCATTATGGTCAAGGTAGAGGAGAGAGAGAGGCCTTCGGGCAGTAGGGACACAACAGGAAGTACCCTCAGGCCAAGGATTGTTGGCTTTAAGGAGGCTGAAGACAGCAGAATGGAAGGAAGCAGCAATGCCAGGGCTGCCAGCCAGGTGGGGTGGGCACTGCCCACTGCAGTAATTCAGCTGGTAACCTTCAGGCTGCAGGATCCAGTCTCGCCATCCCAGTTCCTGAAAGTCTACATAATGATCTCGCCTACAACATAAGGGGGTCTCAGGCTCACAGGTGGGAGTCCTCCTCTTGGCCCGGCCTGCTTCAGGCTCGTTGACACGAATCTTAAGCTCCAGGAAGGGCTGCTGGTGTCCGGTAGTGTCCAGTAGCCACCTCAGTGGTCCAGTAATTGTCTTGTTGCCTTCTAGGGATCTGCAGTTCAGTTGGAGTTTCAAGACAGCAGATTCCTCACCTCTCAAGCCACTAGAGGGCAGAGTAAGGGCATGCCAGCCTGGGGTAGTGATTTGGTGCTCTGCCAGGAGGGTCCGGGATCCTCTGTGCTTCCTCCTTGGGCCCCATCGGAAGATCCTCAGGTAAAGAGTGCCAGGAAAGGTTCGGAGCACATGCAGCCAGAGACGGGCATGGTATAGGTGGTGGGACTGAACAGTGGACAGGTGGAAGGTGAGCATGGAGCTGCAGATTGAAGTGGAGGAGTCTGCCCAGAAGACAATTAACATGTGAGCAGAGATAAAACTCTCTCTGAAGCTCCCTAGAGTCTACCCACTGCTCTCCCTTATGCTCACTTTTAGGGGAAAAAAAAAAAAAGAAGAGACTGCCTTGTGTCTTAACAACCATTCCCTGCCCTAGCTCCTCCGTCTGCTGCCACACCCCACTCTCTCTGCCTTTCTTTCAGTCTTCCCTTCTCTCTCCCTTTCTTTGCTCTCCGCCTATGTCTTTTCTCACCCACCTGTGATGGTAGCAAAGCTGATGACCTCCTCCCCATTCCCTGGAGCCACAATCCCAGGCTGTAGTCTCCGAAGGGCTCTGGTCAGCGCTGCCTGGGGTGGAGCATGAATTATTCTAGGACGACTGGTCAGGTGCAGCCCCTCCAGGATTTGTTGCTTGGCTAGCTCCAGGACCAGAGCTCGTTCTGCTTGGGGTGCCAGTGTTGGGCTCTCACAGGAGGTGCATGCAGATCTTGTGCCCTGTGCCCATATTAGTACCCACAGCAGCACCAGCCAGAGCTGGACATCTGGGAGCCCCACGCTCCTGGTGGATGACCCTGGGTCGGGAGCCTTGGATGGCAGTTGCTCGTCTATTGAGTCTGATTGCATGGAGGCCAGTAAGGGCTCAGCAGCGGCAAACACCAGTGCCACAGCTACCCTTGACCAAAGGTAGGGCTACTTGTCTTCTGTGGCCTGGGACTCAGGAAGGCTGTAAATGGATCGTCCGATGGGTAGCTGTTTGACCCAAACAGTTCATGGTCTGGCTACTGACCTGGGGCCTCTTTAGAGCCAGCTGCCTGGGGCTTCCTCACCTAGTGGTCAGCCAGCAGACCTACCCTCTGAACCTTAGGATTGGCCAGCTGTGCTGCCCATCAGGTTCCTGCAAGGGGTGAAGGTCCCCCCTGGGGCTCGGGTTTCACCATCTGGCTGTGGTGGCTTGAGGCAGGGGCATGGTAGGGCGGGGGGACAACGTGGACACACATGATGCAAGAAAGAGGATGATTTCACATACTCAGTTCCCAAGGTCTGGGACTCAGAGGAGGGACTCCATATAAGCCAGGTGGGGAAGGGCAATTTCCCCCCAGTTCAGTCTTTACTTTTCCCAGTCACCACTCCCGCAGCAATTTCTGTGAGGCAGCTGTTAGTTCCAGTGTTTATTTCTCTGGGGTCTCTGGTCCAGAAGGATTATGGTCTATTTCTAGAACTTGGGACTGGGACAGGGGTGAAGGGTTAGGGGGTGGTAGGAGAACGGAGTCCTTCTGTTCATGCTAAGGTGGCAGAGCCACGGGACATAGAAATCACCCCCTGACCCTGCCTGTGCTGTCCGCCCAGAGTCCAATTGGACTGGTGCACAATGTGGAGGAGGGCCAGAACAAGGTGTGGGGGACGTGCTACTGTGATGTCTGGGGAAACCCAGAGAGGTGGGGGTGGCAGTGATGCAACCTTACAGCAGGGCAGAGTCCATCAAGGCTGGCAGAAGGGCATGCGACTTGGAAGGGCCTGTACCCAACTGCTGCTTCTCTTTCAGGGTGCTATAAGAGTTTCCTAGGTTTGAGGCATCCTAGAAGTGGTGTGAGGCCTCTGTAAATGGAGTTGGGAAATGGGAGGTTTAAGAGGTTTTGAGAACAAAGCAAGAGAGTACACCAACCTTAGTTCCCAGTCTCAGCCCTCCTTACTATACACTTCACTGATTTTTTAAAAATTTCTTTCAAGATAAAGTTTTGCTATGTCACCTAGGCTGGCTTTGTACTCCTGGGCTCAAGTGATCTTCCTGCTTCAGCCTACTGAGTAGCTTGGATTATAGGTATATGTCACCTGCCTAGTCTTCAAGGACTTTAAATAGGAGTAGAAAGAACCTTTAATAGGATGGGCCTCGGGCTAGCTTTTCTCAGTCTGCCCCAGTTTCTTCAAGAAGCTGGGGGAGGTAGCAAGGAGAAAACTGTTGGGAAGGTAGTGTGATTTGGAAATGTGTCCCTATACCACTTATTCTTCTTCCTGCTGTTCAGTTGGTGGAGCTGTCAAGAGCCATCAAAAGGGGGTCCCACCTTGGGGGCTGGGCCTCAATACCACCAGTGTCCACTATGTGGCAGTGCTGTGCCACTGGACAGCAGCTGGCTTCTAGATGACCAGAGCTTCCCAGGGACTGGAAAGGGACTGCTGTTGGGAATCAAGAGATTAGGAGTGTGCCTTACCCTCTCCCTCTGGGACCCTGCATCCTCCACAGGGGTCTGGGAAGAGCTAGTTCCTCTACTATTCCCCCTCACCACTGCCAGAGAGCAGAGGCTATCCTCAGGGATGCATCACTGCCACCTCTGATTTTAGACCTCATCATACTGACAACATGGCAATGGAGCACGATGTCTGGTGCCAGGCTCTTCTTTGGAACTTAGGGCACCATATGGAAAGGAGACAAAAGAAGGGACAATAAGATTCCTACATGCTCCTGTGCACACTGCATTTCTCTCCAGGCCCTGAAACATTCAAGTCCTTTGGCTGGTATTTTCCCAAGCTCCTAATTCCCTTTCTGTTGGTTGCTGCAGGTGAGTTACAGCCCTCTAGTCCCTGAGACTTGAAATACGAGATTGCAAAGTGGAGTTGTCTGTCCATGGTGGTGCCTGGGGGGACTTACCTGTTTGTGCCAGGAAACAGAGTCATGGGAAGTAGCAAGAAATGGCTGCAGGAGTTACTGATCCTGACTCTCCACACCCTGTCAGGTGCCCCCAATTTCCAGCTCTTCCCACCCTCTTGCTGTTACGCCTGGCCTGGCCCTACCTCCCCACTGACACTTACGTCAGAACTCAGCTATAAATACGCTCTTAGCATCTTAGTCACTTTTCCCAAGAAGTGCTCCGGGGTTATAAATACCCCAGCCATCTGCCTCACTGCCCGCCCTACCACCAACCTGGTTGGGGGCTGGGGGTAGGGACAGGCTTGGGGGTGGGTAAGGAAGTAGCAGAAGCAGGAGTACTTGTCTTGCCCAAATGAGAACAGCCTAAAAGAGTTAGGAGGTAAGGGCTACGAGGCTCAGGAAGAAAATGTTGGAAGAAGACAGACCTATTCTTTCCCCTTTTTACATAAAGCAGAACCAAAAAAAAAAAAAGGAATGATATGGATCCTGTGTTTATTTAAAAATATGCTATTTTGTTCATCATGGATTTTTTGCATTAATTTTGACATTTAAAAAACATTGCAGCCAAGCGCAAGTGGAACATGCCTGTAATCCCAGTGGCTCGGGAGGTTGAGACAAAAGGATCGTGGGTTCAAAGTCATTCTCAGCAAAAGTGAAGTGCTAAGCAACTCAGTAAGACCTTGTCTTTAAAAAAATATATAAAATAGGGCTGGGGATGTGGCTTAGTGGTGGAGTACCCCTGAGTTTAATCCCTGGTGTCCCTCACAAAATATTGCATTAAAATATTGCTTATATTGATTGATGAATTTTTTGCCTACTCCTTAAAATTTTGGCTCCAGGGTGAGTGCCCCCTTACTTTACCTTACTCCAGTCTCAGTTTTGGGGATTGAAGGAAAGGAGATTAGATCTGGGACAGGGATGAACTAGAGAGACACTGGTAGAAAGAAGGAGATATACCAGAAGACCTCCTCAGATGAAGGTCTCAACTCAAAGGTGGGATGACTTTCATGGGTTACTCAGGAAGCCCTACAGCTCAGATGTGCAGTTCCCCCAGGAGGTCTCTCTCAGACTTTCTCCTCTAGTATTTCTATTCCGGGGACCTCTTACCCTGATAGGAGGGGGTTATAAGCTGAGCAAACACAGACATCACGTTCCCCAAAGGACACATGGGATTTGCGCAAACCTGGCCTTGGGCTGCAGACGATATCGACCCCATGGTTCAGGGCTGTCCAGCCAAAGAGAGGAGATGGTGGGGGAAGAAGGGCAAAGGTCTAAAGAGGACCTAGTCTCTGAGCAAATGCCACCCTCTCCTTATCCCAGGCCTTCCTCTTCTCCCACTCAAAAGACCCTTGCCAGTTGCAGCTTCTAGGCAGGACTCCTGGATGGAGCCTTGGGGGTGGATGAAAGGAAGACAAGCCAAAGGTCCTAGCAGCCAGTTTTAAGGATTCCTCGGCCTCCCACCATATGTGTGCACACAGAGTGTCAGCTTGCTTGACTGATCATTGATCTGTCTCATCTCCTGGAGTGAGTATATAGAGAGGAGAGGAGCGGGCAAAATCTAGTTGTTTTTTTTTTTAACATTTATTTAGAAGTGGTTGGACACAATACCTTTATTTTATTTCTTTATGTGGTGCTGAGGATCGAACCCAGGGCTTCACACGTGCTAGACGAGCGCTCTACTGCTGAACCACAATCCCAGCCCCAAAATCTAGTTCTTTGTTAGCCACGAGACCATCAAAGGATGGTTCTGGGAGGATGGAGGAGGCATCCTAGGAGAAGAGGAGGCAGGAAATGTGAGATGGATACAATAGCTTAGCCCTGAGTAATCCATGTAAAGAGAGAAAAGCAGGCAGGCAGGCTCTGTGTCATTTGGGGGTGTTAGGGTCCTAGCAGGAGATAGAGGACCCCCCCTCAACTGACTATGTCTGCTTCATCAAGAGGACTTAGTAGAGGAATTATATACAAAGCTACAGGCAGGGTTAAGGGAACCAGTGAGGGATGTTGAAACACCAGGGACTAAAAAGGGGGAAAGTCATCAGTGTCAACACAATGATATCAAAATCTAGGCAGAGCTGGAATCATGGAAGGTGTAGTCAGTTGGGAGCTACAGGGACACAACCCAGCCACAGTTACACAGAATCATAACATATAGATAAATAGGTAGCAGGAATGAGAAATAGTCTGACCTCCGTCTCCTCCTATCCCTTGGTCATCTGCCTGGGTCTCCCCTTGGTCAAACTCAGCAGGAAGCCAGAAGGTGTGGGAGCTCAGGTGAGTCAGTCTTCAAGGGCACAGTGCAGGGAAGAAAAAAACAAAGAATGGATGTGAGTGTGCAGAGAGCATTAGCAACGCACTTAGGCAAGGGCCTCAATACACAGAGGGCGTATGTGTCACTTTGGAGAACAATAATCTAATCTTTGGTGAATCCAAGGAAGGGGCTTTTTGGAGAACCAGAAAAATCAGAGGGAGTGACTGGGTCAACTGCCCTGGAATGGGGACCATCGAGTGGAAAGGGCAGTGGACCCAGTCAACTGTGAAGGCATAGAAGATAACGGGGTTGATTAAGGGTGAATTTTGCCTGGAAACCTGAAGGAACTGCTCATGGTTGGAGGTGGATCAGAGTCCCTGGTATGGGGTTTGAGCATGAGGGACATGTTGAAAAGATGATGCCTTAGGAGAGAGGTTATGAGGATAATATAGTGATTCTTCTTAGATGCAGATCTCAAGTCCAAGGTGGGACAGTTTTGAAAAGTTACTCAGGAAGATGCAGTCCACATTCTAGACAGAGGCAGGAATGGAATCATTCCCTCTTTGAGGAAGGGCACCTCTGTGAGGGATATTTGTTCATTTCACAAAGACTAACTGCACCCACAGGCCTCTACCACCATGTCAGGTATGTCGGTTTTGACAATGTTGCTGTCCCTGTCATAGTAGAGCAAAGACAGGGGACGCCGGGCTGTGGGCACACAGCATGAACCCCCTCCAGCAGTTCCAGTAGCTGTGTTGGCTTTGAGCAGACTGATCACTGCAGTGTGAAAGGAGGCTGCAATGCCAGGCATCCCTGCCACATGTAGTGGGCACTGCCCTGTGCAGAAGTTCATTGCATAGCCCTCAGGCTGGATGATCCAGTCGTGCCAGCCAATCTCACGGAAGTCTACAAAGAACTCTTGTCGACAGCACATTCTGGACCCTCCCTGGCAGTCGATGCCTCGTCTGCGAACCCGGTGCTTGCCCCCAACTCTTACCCGGGCTGACACAAAAGGCCTGTGGGCAGCTCCATCCAGGATGATTGAGTTGGGGGCTACCTGGCCTTCAGGTACTAGTTCGAGGGTAAGGTGCCCTTGGCTGCAGGCAGCTTGAGCTTCAGGCCCCAGGAGGAGCTGGTGCCAGCCAGTGGTATCCATCTCTAGCAGCTGCTGAGTAGCCAAGGTGAGGTTGGGGTCACGTGGATTCAACACAAGGACCCTCATGTTCATAGTCCAAGTGGTATTAGGAGGGAGCTGTATAAAGAACATGAGGCTGGCCTGCTGGATCTCCATGCCACCAGAAGTTCTATCAGAGAAGTGGAAACTAAGACGAGTCTGGTTGATGTTGGAGAGGCCTGTGGACACAAGAAGCCCCAGTCATTACAGCTTTCTAATCCTACCTCTCAATTACCTCTCTATTTCCAGCATACTTGAACTCTCTGTAGCACTTGGCATTTGCTATGATTTGAATGTGTCCCCTAAAGTTAGTATGTTAGAATTTTGATCCCTAATGTGGTAATGTTGGGAGGTGGGGCCTATTGAGAGGGATTTGAGTCATGGAGATCAAATCCCTCATGAATTGATTAATGCCCTTATCAGAGGAATGGGTTTCTTATAAAAGGACAAGGTCATGATTCCCTCTCCCAAATTGCCTTTTCTTTGTCCTTTTACCAGGGGATGATGAAAGAAAGAAGGTCCTTGCCAGTTGCTGGCCCTTTGATTTTTGAACTTCCCAGCCTCCAGAACAATGAGCTAATAAATGTGTGTTCATTATAAATTACCCCATTTGTGGTATTCTTTATAGCAGCACAAAAGGGGCTAAGAGAATTGGCAATGAGAGTGGGATAGTACTATAACAAATACCTGAAAATGTGGGAGTGGCATTGGAGCCTGGTACGAAGAATTTGGAGAGGCACACTAGAAAAGACCTAGATTTCCCAGAACAGAGTTTTAAGATCAATTCTGGAGGGGGCTCTAAATAAAAGGAGGGGGGAGTGTGATATTTCTTAAGAGATTACCTAAGTGCTCATGATCAAAATGTTGGTAGAAATATGCAAAGGAAAGGCAATTCTGATGAGGTGTCAGATGGAAATAAGGACTATTTTACTGGAAACTGGAGTAAAGATCATCCTTATTGCAAAGTGGCAAAAATTGGACTGTATTGTGTCCACATTCTATGGGTTTATGGAAGGCAGAAATTAAGAGTGATGAACTCGGATATTTGGCAGAAGAAATTTCTTAGCAAAATACTGAAGATCGAGATGTGCAGCTTGGGGCTGGGGATGTGGCTCAAGCAGTAGCATGCTCGCCTGGCATGCATGCGGCCCGGGTTCGATCCTCAGCACCACATACAAAAGATGTTGTGTCCGCCGAAAACTAAAAAATAAATTAAAAAAAAAAAAGATGTGCAACTTTTAAAAGTTGCATACAGTAAAATGAGAAAGAAATTATTTAAAGATAGAATCTATAATCAAAAGGAAACAGGACATAGAGATTTGGAAAACCCCTAGCCTGACCACGTAAAGAATAAAAAGGCAGCCCAACATAGTGGCTTATGCTCATAACCACAGATTCTTGGAAGGCGGAGGCGGGAAGATCGCAAGTTCAAGGCAGCCTGTGCAATTTAGCAAGATCCTGTTGCAAAATAAAATTTAAAAACTAAGCCTGGCGTGGTGGCACACATCTATAATCCCAGCAGCTCGGGAGCTGAGGCAGGAGGACTGCAACTTTGGAGCTAGCTTTAGCAACTTAGCAAGGCCCTAAGCAACTCTGTGAGACTCTGTCTCTAATAAAGTACAAAAAGGGGCTGGAATGTGGCTCAGTGGTTAAGTGCCCCAGGTACCAAAAAAAAAAAAAATTAAAAAATAGAACTGGGAGTGTCGCTCAGTGGTAGTTGGGGTTTGCCTAGCAAGTACAAGGTCCTGGGTTCAATCCCCGGTACTGGGAGGAAGAAATAAAGACTCCATAAGGCTTGCGGTACAGCTCAATGGTAGAATACTTACTTACCTAGTGAGGGCAAAGCCCTGGATATGATTGCCAGCACCACAAAAAAGGTTCAGTTTGGGGCTAGCATATTAAATTAATAAATAACTGAAGAAGAAATTCCTATTAGAAGTGG